AACTGAGGCACCAAAAGGTTACTAAATATCTTAACTTCATACAAGTTGCAAGTAGCGTAGCCAAGATTTCATACACAGCAGGGTAACTCCAGAGCCACACTGCCTGTTGGTTGTTTGCCTGTCTCAAAAATAAGATAAATTATACTAACAAGCTCTTCTAGACTAGCAACGCCTTTTCTGAGTTCTCGAACTAGAATGCTCTTCCTCTTAAGTATTAAACTTAAAGGTATTAAACCACCTTTCTGCCCACTGAGCATTTCTAACTCATGTAATAATATGAAAAACAATGATAAAATGTTAAGTAACAAAGCAGGAAACAGCATTGTGTCTTCACTAGACTTTATGGTAAAAAGAAACCTTATGTGTAGAAGAAGCTAGAAGGAAATGCATAATACACCAACAGTGATTGTAACAAGGCAGTGGAATAATTGTTTTCCTTCTTTATTTTCCAAACTTCCTATAATGTAGTTAATTTTATAAGGAAAAAGACGTGTGTGTGTGTGTGTGTGTGTGTGTGTGTGTGTGACAGGGACAAAGCTGCCTTCTTAAAATGCTGGTGCCCAGATACTTTGTTTCTTTTCTCCACTGGGATGAAACTGCCCTGGCAGGTTGGCTGATGTTGGTTAGTTATGGTGTGGAAAGCTTGCACATGCCTCAAACAGCAGTACTACCTTACCAGTCTTCTTTGCCCCTCCCTCTTTGCTGAATTCCAGAATTTTATCTGTAAATTTGTCCTCTTAGGACACCTTCTTTTTCTGGAATTTTCATTTTAGTTTTATCCATTGCCCTAGAGTTGTAAATATCAACAAGTCCACAACAGGGGTGACTGGCTGGCTGCAGTCCAGTAGAGCATCCAACTGGATCTCAGGATGAGTTTGAGCCCCATGTTGGGGGTTTACCTTTTAAAAACTTAAAATTTTTTTAAAAGTCTGTGACATGTAGTGAGGACTGAAGTCTGAAGTTCTGCTTTGACTTACGGCTTCACATAGAAACAGGCCCATCAAGAGCCTCCATTCCTGGGCAGGAGCCAAGGTGAAGAATAGCAGTGACTGGAGAGGGACGGTCCCTGGGTCATCAGCAGGATAGGCTCTCAAGATTCTGGAGAGATTTTTCTAGAACTGCATTGTCCAGTATAATATGTAATGTGAATTACATGTATGTTTAAATTTTTAAAAATATTTCTTTATTTTGAGAGTAGAGGGAGGGGGAGGGGCAGAGAGAGGGGGGAAAGAGAGAATCCCAAGCAGGCTCCATGCTATCTGTGCAGACCCTATGTGGGGCTTCAACTCACAAACTGTGAGAACCTGAGCCAAAAAACAAGAGTTGGCTGCTTAACCAGCTGAGCCACCTACGCACCCTGTTTAAATTATTGAGCTATCTTACGTTCTTTTTGAGGGGGTATTAAGTCTTTAAAATATACTCTGGTAGGGGCACCTGGGTGGCTCAGTCGGTTGAGCATCCAACTTTGGCTCAGGTCATGATCTCACGGTTCGTGAGTTTGAGCCCCACATCGGGCTCTGTGCTGACAGCGCAGGGCCTGGAGCCTGCTTCTGATTCTGTGCCTCCCTCTCTCTCTGCTCCTCCCCTGCTCACACTCTGTCTCTCTCTCAAAAATAAATAAAGATTTAAAAAAAATTTAAATATACTCTGGTATATATTTTAATCTATATCACATCTTAATTCACATATAAAAATTTCATTGGACATGCTTAATCAATTGTTCTGAACATACTTGAAATTTTTCCAAAAATAGCTCAATTGTCAACTTCCAAATTTGAATTTTAAATGGGTTAAAATTAAATAAAATTTGAAATTCAGTTTTTTGGTCATACAAGTCATATTTCAAGTGTTCATCCACCCAGGGTGCCTTGCAGCCACCTCATGAACCGTTCTAGCATGTTGGGGTCTCTCCCAACAGCTCCTTGTCCTTTGTGACACCTACAGAAAGCAGGGTAAAGGAACTTTGCATAGTTAGCCCAACCCCATTTCTTCATTGTGCTAGAGGTCTGTGGAGAGAGTAAAGATGTGATCCATTTTTCCAGTGGTAAGACTGAGGCTCAGGAGGGCTAAATTGTTTAGTCTGAGCCACCTGTGGTAGGGGGAAAGCCAGAACCCCTTACTGCTGGGGCCCAGGCCAGCACTCCTTCCCTAAGACGACTCTGTGTCCTGCCCTCAGGCTTCAAAAGGTGTGTCATGTAAATACCAGCTCTGACTCAGGACAGATGAGAATGAGCTCTTCCCTTGCCTGGCTGGGCTCCTGAATACTCTGCCCACCCACGGATGGTTGCTCTTGCAGGAAATAGGGGATATCTTAAGGCAGCCACTACTTCAGGAAACCAAAAGAAGATTGACTTGTGCTGCCCTGTGGAAAGTTCCTCCAGAGACACCTTTCCTGTGGCAGAATTGTATATGTTCCAAGCGTAAGCTGGCTTCCATCACATGGGTTTGGAGCTGGAGCTAGAGGAGCGCAATTTGCAGTCAGGAACCTGCAGCTAGCTGCCCGACCACAGTGGCCCCAGCATTGTTCTCTGCCTTCTCGCTGCCACCTAACTGGCCTGGGCCCTGTTAAGTTACCCTGGTGTGGCATCGCTCTTGGGGGACAAGGTGCTCATTCAGGACGAGCAAGGGTTTTCTTGTGAGGTGCTCTGCTTCCTGCCCAGCAGCTCTACCTTCCTAGCTGATGCAGGGCCTGCAGTCAGCCCTATACTCTGGAGAATTGGGATTATTCTCTCAACTATTTCAGCACACACAGAATTGTACCTGGGACCAAGGTATGCCTTTGTAATTTAAGATAAGGGGGGATTTTTTAAGTATCTTTTTTTCCCTCCTCGCTTAACGTGCTCAAAACCTTTACATACGTCAGAACTTGTGGTAGCTCATCACCTACACTACAGGAGGTCCAGCAAACTACACAAGCCCACTTTTCTCCTAATTTCTTTTACATGGAACATAAAGCTGAATTTGAATTCTGTACTAGAGCTCCAGCCTTCATGGTTTGGCCCTGCTGCTTTCCAGAAGGCTTTCAGGAAGACTGGTTATGCAAGTAACATTTCCTGTTGACTCTCTTTTAATAATTAATGGCTGATGATGATGGATTGTGACCACAACAGTGCTCAGATGTCATTTATTTGAACACACACTCGTAGTATTACACATTCGTAGTAGCATGCCAAACAGTTGTAGCACTCCCATTTGCACATAAAGCATTCAACCAAGAATCTCATCAAATACGGATTGTAACTACATGTACTGCTAAAAATGATGATTGTTTGAAAGTGAAGGGTCGTGGCGCCTGGGTGGCTCCTTTGCTTGAGCATCCAGCTCTTGATTTTGGCTCAGGTCATGATTTCAGAGTCGTGATATCAAGCCCCGCATCAGACTCTGTACTGAGAGTGGAGCCTACTTAAGATTCTGTCTCCTTGCTCTCTGCCCCTCCCCCACTCGTGTGCATACACATGCTTGTGTGTGTGCTCGCCTTCTGTCTCTCTCTCTCTCAAAATAAATAAATAAATAAATAAAAGAAAGTGAAATGTCAAGAGTCTGAAGTTAGATTCAAGGCTGATGCTGGTGAGAAAGAGTATCATTTAGGAAGATGCTTTTCACTATCCCTGGATGGTCTCATCTACTCATGGTTTCTGTCACTCCCTTTTGTTGACAACTCCCAAATCAGTGCCCCCAGCTGAGACCATGCCCTTGAACTCCAGAGCCCTATATCCAGCAGTCTACTAGACATCTCCAGGTTCTTGACTTGCAGATTCCCAAATTCAGCATGTCCAAGATGCCCAGCCTACGCCTTCTGCAGTATGCCTCTTCCACTAAATGGTCCCACCATCTCCCCAGTTGGCCAAGCCATAAACCTGGGTCATCCTTGACTTTTCATTTCTGGCTTACATGGTCCTACAGGATCTGTTTCCTGCTTAGCACCCCTAGCGCACTCGCACACCTGTACATCTGGATCTTCAGCCATACAGAAGGTGCCACATTCTCACTCATCTGCAGGTTTCTGGTGTTCCTTCTCCCCCTTCCTCCATTCTTGATCTTCTCAACCACTCCAGATCAAAGTAATTTACTGCAGGAATCCTTCCTGACGTCTACCTGTGTAGATCTGAGGAACACTCAGTACTTTTTCCATGGCATTCATCACATTACCTGTCTTCCCCTGTGCTTAGCACTCTGCTTGATGCATGATACGTACTCAGTAAATATTTGTAGAATAATAGTTGACACTGACTGAGAATTTGTGCCAAGTGCCTTGCTAAGTAGGTTGCCTGCATTATCTCATTTCACAAGAGTGGGGTCAGGGAGACCATCTAGGAGGTGGTGATTGGCAAAGTCCAAAGGGACACCAGATTGGTTTCAACTAGGATAAAAGTGGTGGCAAGAAGTGGGCAGATTTGAGGCACGTGCTCAGCTAGAGTCAACAGGACTTGGTGAGAATTTGGTTGAGGGGTTGGGTAGGGAGTGGAAGGAGTCAAGGGTAACCGCTGGGTGCTGCTGCTTCTCCTTGCTGAGAAGAGAAAGAAGGACAGTGTAAGTTTGTGGGGAAATAATTAAAAGTTCTCTTTGGTATGTGTTAGGATTGATATGCCTATCAAGTAACCAGGGAGAAATGGATATATAAATCTGGATTTCTGGAATAAGATCAGACAAGCCTGGAGTTCCTCATTTAGAACTCACAGAACTCCATGAGGTAGAACTATTGCCAGCTGAAATAGTGTAACTTCCTAACTCGCGCAGAGCGTAAGCAGCAGAGACGGCATATGAAGCCAGGCACACTGACTACAACACCTTCCTGCTTGCCACCACGCGGTGAATGGTTTCCAGTTCTAGTTGCTGTCGTCCTCAGTTTTCTACGGTATAAATTTCCCTGTGCCAGCTGTAGAAATTGTTTTGAAGGCCAAATCATGCTGTACCTACTGATTTTAAATGGAATTGGGTCTGCTTGCAGCCCTGTAGAAGAACAGAACAGAAGAGAAAATGAGCCAGGGAAACATGGCAGACATCTGGTCCTGCTGCAGCCTTCCTCTGGCAGCTTCGGGGCAGTTGAATATCATCTAGCAAGACCGTTAGTATCTAGTTTTTCTCTTCTTACAGGAAAGGAGTATGTCACCTTGAAATACATAATTCAGATTGATCCCTTATAAAAGCACAGATGTGGAAAAGAGCCTTTCATTTCACATGTAAGATGTTCACAGGTTGCATTGAGAACTCAATTCATAATGGTTGATAGATGAAAGGTACTGCATTTCTTGTATTTGATGCCTGCCGGAAGGGAACGGCTGTAATTGTAGACTAAGGCATGAGCTTTCTTCTAGAGGGGTGTGCACGTGTGTGTGTGGGCACATGCTTTGAAAACCACACACACATATTATATAAATATATACTGATTTGAAATAACCTTCTTTTCCTATTTTATTTTAGGGATAATGATTCTTGCTTCCCACCTAAGTTGAATAAGCACCTCGTGCACTTTAATCTCCTGTCGTGCCATCAGGCTGACTGAAGACAGTGTTTTGAAATCTCAGCTATAAAGACATCCCGCCAAAGTCTCAATCTTGCCTTAACGATGTTTCAGAGACTGAATAAAATGTTTGTGGGTGAAGTCAATACTTCTTCCAATCAAGAACCAGAATTTAGTGAGAAAGAAGATGATGAATGGATTCTTGTTGACTTCATAGGTAAGGTATTCTCAGTGGTTAATCATCACAGCAAAAATGGAAACTCTTGCATCTTAGTTTTTCCAGAAGTAAACCAGTAACTCTGAAGGTTTTTAAGCCTTTAAAGTAAATAAGCAAGAATTTGTCTAAAATAATTGCAGGAAACATCCTGTGCCAGATAATCAGTCGGTGAAATTGATTGACGTCAGATCTTCCAGTTTTGCAACTCTCATACCCTGCTCAGATCAGATGCACTTTAATAGGAAATCCTTGTAACCCACATTGCTCATCATGTTTACTTTAGCAGGATAGAAAAATCGTCTCCTGCAAAGCCACCGTAATACATCTGATGCAGTGATACACCACACATACACACACACTAGGTGCTCAGAAGTTCTTTCATAATCATTGAGTGAATGTAAATGCTTTTGTGTCTGACCTAAATGAAAGGAGAAACGTGAACATCAGCTAACAGTATCATCTCTTCTTTTTCTGTGCTCTCAATCTGCTGTCATTGTGATGCCCGTCCTTCCGTGGGACTTCACCAACGTATGTGGACTGTGATGTAGACACTTGCACTGGTTTCTCAGCAGCAGAAGATGAAGAAGAAGACATCAGTGAAGAGTCACCTACTGAGCACCCTTCAGTCTTTTCCTGTTTACCTGCATCTCTTGAGTGCTTGGCTGATACAAGCGATTCCTGCTTCCTCCAATTTGAGTCCTGTCCGATGGAGGAGAGCTGGTTTATCACCCCTCCCCCATGTTTTACTGCAGGTGGATTAACCACTCTCAAGGTGGAAACCAGTCCTATGGAAAACCTTCTCATCGAACATCCCAGCATGTCTGTCTATGCTGTGCATAACTCCTGCCCTGCTGTCAGTGAGGCCAGCTGTGGGGCTGATGAATTTCATAACCCAAGTAGCCCCAGGTACGTTGTAAGTGCAGCTGACCCTTGTACAACGTGGGTTTGAACCGCATGGGTGTACTTATACACAGAGTTGTTTTTCTTTTTTTTTTT